TCTGGAGTACCAATTTCCGGCGGCACCCACTCTCAGAGCGAGAATGAGGGCGATGAGGAGTTTCCTGAACAAGACATGGCGTGCTTCTGTCTTAGCGTGTGTTGTCTTCAACCATATGAGAACGATCATGGTCATGATGGCCGACAATATACTGGACAATCCTGCAGTGAGGCCAGAGATGATTTTTGATGACGAAGCACTGATGGTGAGGAACTTCCCAAGGAAGATGGCGACCCTCATGCTCCTAGACAAGTACCTGAGGAGCCCCTCCAAACGCAGGAGGACTAAGATCCAGTCCACTCGGCCAGCTAAGAGACGAGATAACACGATTCTCTCTTATTATGTGAGGCCTTCCCCTGATGTTGAAAAAGGCCAGGGGACTTCTCCTGTACTTGAACTGTTACGGACTAGTATTGCGAGCACTCCTCCAGAAGCTTCCATCATCACGCAATCGGAATCTGTGAGCTCCACTACACTGAAGCAGACACAACGTTTTCGGAGGCCTAACGCCTCTGTGAGAACTTTTTTCAGGAGTTGATGACGTGCTTCAGAGCTTATGATGTATTCACATGTATACATGTATAAAGGCATATGTACAAACCTTTGCTAATTCATGACTTATTTGCTATTTAATAACTTGTGATCTATAAGATCCCGTGGAGGCGAATGGGCTATGGTGAAGGATGAGGCAGACAAGAATAAGTGGATGGGTGCGTCGTCATCACAAACGAATTTGTTTGTCCACATTGAGTACGAAAATAGGGTCATGAAAACTGTCAGGTTCCGGGCTATAGTGGAGAAAGTTTTAAAGGAGTTCTTCCCTCCTGAAACAATTATCCTCCTCGCGACCATTGTGTTAGGTTGGACTTACCTTGATTCGTTAGGAGCCATTGTATACAGGCCTACTCGCGTATTGAGGGATTTTGAGCTTTAGGAGTGGTTTGCTTTCTGCTCGGAAAAGTTGTTGCGTCCATGTGCTTCATGGAGGTTCAATCGGTTTCATTTACTTCTAACGCTTGTCACGACTCAACCTTTTTCCACTCCTTCATAGCATGTCCTTACCCTTGACCCCTCGATTTCTCATAATCAGTCCTTAAAAACCCTGTTCTCACAAGGGTTGAATCATATTCCCCTTCAACCCACGTCGATCATGCATGTTACCCGGTCCTTTGCTGCTGCTTGGGATGGGATTGTCGACCTTGTGATGTCCAAAACCTTCATGCCCCCCTACCATCAGACTGGCTACCGTTTTTGTCAGAAAACAAGTCAAGACCCAGCTGTCAAGCCTGGTTTGAGGGGGCTTTCTGACTCTCCATCTCCGCCGAATGTCCACGTGGTGAGATGCGAGATAGAGTTTCTCGCAAATAGCCATTGTCTCGTATCAATCTGGTGAGGAAGTTGACGTTGGAAAAATTGTCCAGTGGGGATTTTCAACCTATATAGATTCTTAAAATTCATTGTTTCTGACAGGGATGTTCGGTTCACGAGTATACAATTTGCAGAAGTTGATGGAAGTCTATGGTACGAGGTTGACTATGTTGTTAGGAAGATACATGAAACAAATGGTCAAATTGAACAAATGAATCGTTTGTGCCAACAATTCCTTTGCGTGTACGTATGAACTGATGAGATAGATTGGGATGAGAACTTACATAAAATCACAAGTGCATATAATAATAGCATACAGACTGTTATAGGACGACCACCCAATGCACTGTATAAAGGTTGAAAGCCTCGACGTCCCATTGATGCTCTAACTCGGGACCAAATTCAGAGGTTACCCCCAGACACTCGTGAATTTGCAGTTTTATATGAAGAAGATATTAAAAAGGAACAGAAAAATATACAAAAAACCCAACTGCAAATGATTAAGGAGGCCAACAAACATCGTTGGATATCGCAGTTTCATGAAGGTGATCTGGTGTGGGTAAAATCTAAATAATTTTCCTTGAAAGAAAGCATATCTCTTTAACTGCTACCTGTCTATTATGGGCCCTGGGAAGTTCTCGAGGTGATTGGGGATGCGGATGAACCTTCTTACCAGATTGATGTAACCCCTCACCTCTTGACCTATCATGGCTTTCATGCGTCTAAACTCTTGTCAAATGTAGAGGGGACTAGGTTTCCTAATAGACCATCTCTGTTTTCCTTCTCCATGAATGGAGGCTACGAAGTTGAGAAGATTTTGAAAAATGGCTATTTTTCTACAGGCGGTAGACGACAACCACAGAAGCAGTATAAGGTAGAGTTCAAGTCTCAGCCCCCTACTGAAGGTAGATGGTTCAGTAAAAAGGAACGCTTACCTACTGCTCCTGACATTGTTGTTGCGTATGAACTTAAATGAAAGGAAAATTGATGTATTTCTGCACTGGAACTTGAAAATTGGCGGCAGGAATGCAATACCCCATGCAGTATGCCTCGAGGAATGTCTAAGAGCCTGGCCAGGCCACACTCAGACTTAGGCCAAGCGGAAAAAGGACCCCTACATAGATTCAAGGCCTGAGCGGGTGACATCTGACCAAAATCAACTGCCTGATGCCCAATGGTCAAAGTGAAAGTGGACCCAGCCCAGGCCGCCGGTCAGACGCACACACTTGTTTGTATGCAGGTACCAAGACAGCATTAGGACCAAGTGGAAGTCTGCAACTATACACAATCCAGACACTCGGTTGTAAGTCAATCTGTATGACTGTGGGTGGGAGACCTGAACACTACATAAGGCTTGTTCTCCAAGAGATCAATATTCAGTCTTGCTATGCTGCCCTGACGCTCACTTGACGCATGCCACCTGTCTTCATTGCTGATGTGGCGCATGCCACCTGTCTACATTGATGATGTGGCGCATGCCACCTGTCTACATTGCTGATGTGGCGCATGCCACCTGTTTACCTTGCTGATCTGGTGAAGGCCATCTGTGTTCATTACTGATGTGGTGCATGCCACCTGTCTCTATTGCTGACGTGGCACTGGCCACACTGTCTACATGAGGTGATTGGTCGCGACAAGGAGGGAGATGGGGATCTGTGGATGATTGGGAAACTGGTACTCACCTGAGGTTGACGTCGTTATTGTGCACTGCTGTTTGTCTTCATTGTCTCCACAAGAGGACAGTGCCGTGTGGCACATCCATGTGATCACGACTTGTCAGACTTGTTACTCTGTATCCATATTGATTGATGACGTGGAGGGGAGGGGAAGCCCCCAGAAGGGTGGGTACTGTTTGGGCTACTCTTTGGTGGTCATTGATTATCCCTTCCACCCTCTTATCTGTCTATACCCCCTCCACTCTCTTGGTCTATTGGTAACGAGACATTGTATCAGATATTACTTTCACGATCATTGGAGACATTGGGAAGATTTGAGTTAACTTGTACTTCCACGTCTGACGAGTATCTTCCAGTCTGGGTTCATTACAGCTATACTGGGGTGGGTTTTATTTATTCTTTATTTTATATATATATTTATCTACTTGTTTATTTGTTTGTTCATTTATTTATTAAATTAAGGGGTGTTTTGATTTATGCATGCACGGTTTACTTCGTTGATGTAGGGCTTACTATCCCACCAACATCCCCGCCCCCCCGCCCACCCCCCTCTACACCCCCTCTACCCCCCTAACGTCGGATCTTATCTTGGTTTATGCGCGCATGCACAGGGCTCGTGCTAACCTTGTCATGCCCAGGGCCCGTGCTAACCTTGACTGTATCGTTTCAATTTTGCGGGAAGTTTAAAAGGGCCCAACTTATTCTACTGATGGAAAGATTATCAACCAAGCGATGGTGCTTCTCCTCATATTAATACAAGGGGCATGTGGGATAGAGATAGAAAGAACCAACACGCAGTGAAGGGCAAATAGGACCGCAGTTCAGGACACTGAGGGGAAACAGCGTGCAACGCCCATCACACCGACTGAACTAGAATGCGCACTGCAATACCCAAAACCTCAAACACACACAGAAAAAAAAAAAGGCTAAAGCCAAGAAAGCCGCAGAGGTGAAACACATGAATATGTATACATCAAGAGAAGTGAAGAGTATACATATTCTGTTACGCTAACGAAACGCGAAATGCAGTATTGTCATGGCAGCAGTTTCCAGTACAAGCAAAGATAGCAAAACTAGCAGGTTTTTCTTTTGGAGGGCCCTTTTGTAAAAGTGACATCCGAGCTTGATGGAAACTGCTGCTGCCGTGAAAGTTGCTTCCTAGGCAGTCATATTGTGTTACATGACCAACCACAACCCATGGCATAGTGTAGATGAAAGGACTGTCGCCATATGACGTATTCTTAGTGAGAGCAGTGTCATGCCATTCGTTAATCTTTGGGAAAAGTTATAGAACCTCCCTGCCACAAAAGCTCTCTGTTCATCAGATGTGTCAAATAAGGCCCTCAATGTTTTGTCTTTCTTATCTTCGAGGCCACCACTCAGGCAGAGATTCAAAAAAGTGGTGATGCTACACACACACACACACACACACACACACACACACACAC